CCCCAAACCCCCAAAACCCCAAAACCCCAAAACCCCAATTTCAATTTTATATATTGACCAGGAATAAATCAACTACTCTCTAATATTTTCTCGTTTTCACCTTAAGTGTGAGCTTTACTAAGCCTTGATATGCATCATTCCCAATATCTATTTCATCTAATCATGCAAGTGCAGCAATGGACTCCCCTACATGATTGAGTGCAAGCATTTCTGCTCTATCAATTCCTGCTGTGCTATCTATAATACTTAAAGCCTTATCCACATCTCCTTCATTTTCAAAATTTCTCTGGATCATTGTTTCTAAATCTTTCGATTTGCTCTCAGAAAAAGCAAAAATTGTTGGAGCGGTCACAAGACCTGATTTGAGATCATTAAAGGCGGGCTTTCCCAAAGCTTCTGAGCTCTGTGTGAAATCCAGTATATCATCAGCTATCTGGAAAGCTATCCCGAAATGGGCTCCAAAATCAAAGGCGTTCCTTTGTTTTTCCTCTGAGAAATTATATATAACTCCAACTCCTCGACAAGCCAATGACATTAAGGAAGCTGTTTTATAGTAAGTTTTTGAAATATAGCTCCTAACTGATTCTTCTAAGGAATCATTCTCAGAGTAATTCCTTGCCTGAATCAACTCCCCAAAGACCAAGTTGTAGATCATCGTTGAAAATATTTGAGATAAGTAAGGCTTCTCAAGTTTGGCCAGCATCTGTGAAGCTCTTGAAATCAAGAAGTTACTTGCAAACACGGAATTGGATCTCCCATACACTTTATATGCTGCTAATTTAGATCTTCTGGTTTCAGCTTGGTCGATAATATCATCTTGTAAAAGAGTAGCGTTATGGCAGATCTCAACACAAGCTGATAGAAGAGCAGATGTATAGTACAGGTCTGTGTCCTCAAACTTCTTGCCATCTCTTGCATATTTTGAATAGAAAGCTCTTGAAAGCAGCATAATAATACATGACCTAAAATTCTTGCCCTTGAGCTTCAAGTTGTACTCAGCTACTTCTTTAAGCAAGGAATACTTAGTATCAATAATGTTATCAAAAATGATATTGTTGATAAATTTTAAGTCATCATCAATGATGCTAAAAGGGTCTAAGTCAAAAGCTGCCTTCTTCTTTAATCCCTCAAGAGTTGAATTATTTTGCTTCCGTACTTCTTCCAGACTAGGCATTGGTTCTTGAGTTACCAGCTTCATCATGTTTTTTGAAAAATGGACATCACTGAAATCAAAATCGTTAAGAACATTCTTGCCTATAGATTTCGTACAAAACCTCCTTCAGAGTATATTCGCCCTCATTAATTGATGGTTCACTAAATTTTTATTCTTTAATTCAAACAAATTACCATCAGAAGGGGTTTTGGGGTTTTGGGGTTTTGGGGTTTTGGGG